ATACATATCTCTTATGTGTAAATATTTTATACTTACTACTTATTAATTATCTTGCCATATTTACAATAGTAAATAATTATGATACCAATTACGATACACACATATTACTTGGGCACAACTCTGAGAAAGGTAAAGGAAAATCACAACACTGACAACACACAAAACCTAGAATTCAGAAATCCCACCAACCTAAAAACAAAAAAAAAAAAACAAAAAAACAAAACAAAGCCAATAGAACAGAGCAACACAAAGGAAAATTCTTCAATCTTTTTTCCTCCAAAAATGTAGAGCGATAAAAAGAAAACCCAAAATCAAACCCACAAAAAAAAAAAAGTGAAGCTTTTTCATGGCGGATAACTTGGAAGAAGAACAAGAAAGAACACCTTCATCGTACACGTTATTCTTAAGAGTCATGAGCAAAGGGCGAACATGGGTATGCATAATTCTCCTAGTATACGCAATAATCCTAACCTCCTCTTGGAATTTTCTCAAATCGATACTTTCTTGGTACAATTTGCAATCAAAATCATCGTCGTCAACTTCCCGGGTGGCCCGTTCTTTACGTGTCCGTGCTTCTCGAAGCGATGTTCGCGGTCATGTCGATGGTGACGTCTTTGGCGATGATGGTGCCGGTGACACTGGTGACGTGGATCGCCTTTGTTATGGTCTTGGCCTTCTTCGGTATGTCAAGGAAAGAAAATAAACATAAGGATTGATTGAGATGGGGAAAATGAAAATGGGAAAGGATGGTCGTATTTGGAGTTGTTCTCATTTTTGTTTTTCACCTTTTTTGAGAAAGAGACAATGAAAAAAATTTTAAAACGAGGTTTGGCACAATAAAAAAAAAGAAATGAAAACAATTTTTTAGATTAGTGTAAAATAAGAGAAAAATGAAAAATGATTTTTAGTCATTTTTTTTGTTTTCATTCTCTTCTCTCCTAAGCAGAGAGAGACATTAATAGGTTTTTTTATACTGAAAACAATCTCTTGATAAAACTACCAAACGTATTTTTAAAAATGATTTATGTCTGAGATTGAAAATATTTTTATTTTTATTTTCATACAAACAAAATCATTTTAGAACGAGTTCCAAATGCGCCTGATCGTTTTCATATTCTCGGTATTTTTGGGAATAATTAGAAAACGTTTTCAATTTTGCTTTTCGTACGATGCGGTGCCAAATGCGTATCTCAGAGCATTTTTATTTGGGTTATTGGCAAAAATGGTCCCCAACCTGTTTAGTAAGTGACAGTTTAGTCCATATTTTTTTTTCTTGGCCAAAAGACCCCCAACCTCTTTAAACATGTGCAATTTGATCCTTTATGTTAACATTTGTTAAGTTTTTTCATAGAAAATTACACGTGCCCCTCACATGACTTTTTAATACGTGACATATTGGTAAAAAGTTGTATTAATTGGTAAAAAGTCCTATTAAGCTTCCACCACTACTCACGCACCGATTATGCCCGACCAAGTGAACACGTTTCTAAAGCTTTTTTTTTTAAGCTGCAACGAGCCAACGACGTCCTTATTGAATGAAACTTCTACTAAAACTCCCAATTCGCATTGGGTTATCTATAGATCAAAAACCACATTTTCACAACCAACCGTTGAAGAAGAATCTCAATCACCGACAAAATAAGCCCAATCGCTTTGTTGGCGACGTCGTCAGTCAACTCGTCGAGACTATTGGTGACCCTAATCCCTCTTTCCTAGCATTTTCTCATATAAATCTTGTCCAACCCCACGCTGTAGCTCGCGGTGATCCTTAATCTCGACAACGAACTGATCAGTACTGCGTCGGCGCCGATTTTGGTGTTTCCCACCACAGCTTGGATTGAATCAACATTCTCTCCCAAGAATTCCGCCATTGAAGGATAGCGCAAGAGCTTGAAGCGCTTTTCCAGCTCTGCTTCGAGGTAATTGAACATCGGGCATGTCATCAGGATGCCAATGTCGTCCATTTGTTTGTTAAAATGAAAAACAATGTGAAAGATTGGGGGCTAGTGATTGAGATTCTTCTTTGATCTCTCCTATGATCATAGGCTCCATGTCTGTGTCGAAGGGCTTCGACTTCTTGTTGATGATCTTGACGGCAACAGTGGAGCCATCGAAAAGGGATTGGGCCTCATATACCATTGCAAAGCTGGACGAGCCCAAGAACTAGCCCAACCGGTACTTGTTGAGGATGGTGGTGGCAATAGTTGGTGACGGCAGAGGAGGCGAAGGAGGTGGGACCCCTTCTCACTCCATTTGGTTTTGAGAAAATGGAGTTGGCTTACTCATACTTGTGTGTTTTTAGATAGAGGAGTAGTGAGCATATGAGTCAGTTGGAGATGGGGATTTCGATTGCTGTCTTCCATCGTCGGCGACAGGAGTTTGGCGGAGGGAAAGAAGAAGAAGAAGAAGAAGAATAAGAAGAAGAAGGGGATGTTTGGTACCTAGATTCGTTCCCTGATTTGAATCATGGTTCGTGATTCGCTACAGTATTTTTTCTCACAAAAAATACACGTAAATCAAAAATAATTCTAATCATATGGTTCTAATTTATGAACCAAACGTCTTCGAAGTCTTTCTAATGGGGGCATTTAAGTCATTTTATTAGAAAAAAGGGTCACATGATGGGCACGTGCAATTTTCTGTGAAGAATTTAACAAATGTTAATAGAAATGACTAAATTGCACCTATTTAAAGAGGTTAGTGATCGTTTGACCCAAAAAATAGGAACTAAGCTGTCACTTACTAAACAGGTTAATGACCATTTTCGCCAATAACCCTTTTTATTTTTTGGTCCTTAGAAAATGTGAAAAAGTTTTTGAAAAGGGTTTCAAACAGGCACAATATGTCGGCATTATAGGGGTGGCAATTCGTGTCACGGATCGTGTTCGTGTCGTATTTTGTTCGTTTCTTTATAAATTTACAGTCAACTCGAACACTACCCGTGACACGAAATTTTTTAAAAACCGCAACACAAACACGACACGACCACTTGAAGGGTTAACACGACACGACACGAAATGACCCGTGACACGAAATTGACCCGTGAACCCGAAATTGACACGAAAATTGTATACTTTTATTTAAGTTTTTTACATATTAGAAATAGCTTAAAATTCGTAACACACTAAAATATAATAACATCCATTAAAATTAAGCAAATAATAGTATAAGATTTTGAGTATAATTATCATGATATCACAAGTTCATAATAAAATAAAAAAATATATAATGAAAAATATGTATTTATTTTAGTTTTTTACGAATTTCGTGTCGTGTTCAAATTAGGCGGGTCTAACCCGAAATTGACCCATATTTTTCATATTAATTTTAGGTCGACCCAATTCTAACCCGAACCTCTTTTTTCTCAATCCTAACCCGTAAAACTCGTGTCGTTTTCGAGTCATGTTATCGTCTTGATCCATATTACTGGCCCTAGTCGACATCACCTGATTTAAATGCAAAATTCATAATTTTCACTTCCCCAGTCACCCAGTAGACCGAATATACTACTTACTACTTTTTTTTTTTTTTTTTTTTTCACTAAAAACTATTTACTTTCAATTTGTAACATTCCAAGTATACTATTTACTACTATTTTCATTTCACTAAAAACTATTTACTTCTATTTGTAACATTATTTTGAGATAGTAACGCTGTTCGCTACACATTCCCAAAAATGAAATTAATAATGTACTAAACAAATAAAAATCAACAAAATAAAACCTATTGCTTATAGTATTTGTACTGTAACACATTAGCGCCCTGTTTGATTAAGAGAAACGGATTTAATGAAAGTATGGTCTTGGCTACTTGGGTGTGGCATCATTGACTTTATAGGGAAAAAAAACGGTGGCATTTTTCAAACAATACTACAAGGAGAAGTTTCTTTGGCTTAACATTGTAACAATGAAAGGAGTTGATGGAAAAAACCGACAGATTTTACCATGTTTTCACTTTTTACGAAGGTTATTCCTTGAAACCTCAATACATTCAACCACATCAGATGATTGAAAGCCATTAGTTGGCAGCTACCGAGTAACCCAATGCAAAAACATAAATACATGAATTCCACATAATAAATCATCAAACGCCAAGTCCTTTTTACAACTCTTCAACCAAAAAGCATGCAAACCCCTAAAAATAAGATAAAACAAGTGTGCGCCATTTTACAGAATCTCCTACCAATATCATACACTACTGCAATGTTCAAAGCAGTATGATATATCCAGTAACAGAAAAAAAAAAAAAATCAGTAAGATATATCTAATACAACCGACCACCCTCCAGCAACAACTAACACTAATAACCAGTTCGAAAACGTCCCTAAACAAATGCCCTCGACAAATCTAACGAACAAACTAACATATATCGTTTTCTAAGAATGCAAACTTCATTAATCAAACTAACATATATCCCTGACGTCGCAACCAATAAGTACTAACAGAATTTCCTTTCAAAGTCGGGTTCTTGAAATTCCCAAACGTTTGGAAGAAAAATCAATATCAAACTCAAATTATTAATTCTACTACAATGTTTTCCTCTCACAAAAAATTTAAATTTCAAATGTCAAAAATTAAGAATCAATGTTTGAATATACATTTCAAATGGTCCCTACATTCTAACAAAACCCATCACCCCTAATGTTTTTTCTTTTTAAATCCACATATTTCACAAGATGGTCTCCTAAGAGTGTCCGTTTAGTTCGCTGATTCGAGTTTTTAATTCGAGTTGAGATATGATTTTATGTGTGAGTTTTTTACTGTAGCTAAAAAGTTAAATCTGATTATTTATGAGAGCTTTTTACTGTAGCAAAACTCGAATCGTTAAAGTGAACAAGACCTAGTGTATCAAGTTAACATGAACAAAACTCACACAAAAAGGTTTGCCTAAAATAGAAGAACTATGACGCACAAGGAAATTACTTGCAATAACTAAACAAAAGCCACATTTTCTCTACACGTCATATGTTAAATACTAAAACCCCAAAAAAAAAAAAAAAATGCAACTAAATAATAAAATTAACATTAAATCAAAAAGAGATCATCCCATTACTTGAAATACCTAATAAACGGTAAACTAAACATCAACCTCGCCAAAATCTTTCTTAAATAAACATTTCCAAGTCATGTTTTTCAAAAGAACTAAAAACGCTAATACAAAAAGTTAAATGCAAACGTCCATCCACCTTAAAACCCGAGCTTGGTGCGACGCCAGTGTCTGCGTTTAGCGTTGTACCTGTAAAAAAATTAAATAAAAATTAAAAAAAAAATTAAAAAAATTGCAAAAAATATTTTTCATCTTTTTTTTTTGTTCAATATATCCAACTAAAACAATCAAAAATTGTCAAAATTACGGAATTAAATAAAAAAAATAAAGGAGAAGGTTTTAGATCGGGACCTGATAGTGTTGTCGGTCCTTAAGCGGATCCAGTGAGGAATGGGCCTGTTCTGCCTCATCTTCTTCGCGAGCTTCTTCTTGATCCTGAAAGTCTTGTGGGACGGCTGCGACGAGGAGAAAAAGATACGGAAAAGAATTAGACCAGGAACAAAATCATGGAATTTTAGATGCGAAAGAACGTAGTGAGAAACGAGGAACTACCATCTTCGCTCAGAGGAAGGTGGCTTGGAGGAGTAAGCCCTAACGACGACGACCAAACCCTAATTTTCTATCTCCACCCAATTTATAGCGAAGAAAGGGAATTGCCGGTTTTGAGGCCTGGCTATGGAATCAAGGCCCATGTTCGCTTCACGCGTTCGGTTTTGAAATAGGCCCAAATGGGTTACAAAAAATGGGAAAATACAATAAATAACGGCCTAATTCACTTTGCGGATTTAAATTTTTAATTCGAGCTGAGATGTGATATTTTCTGAGAGCTTTTCACTGTAGTAAAAAAAGTTAAATGTGATATTTTCTGAGAGTTTTTTACTGTAGAAACTTAAAACTAAAAACTCGAATCGGTGAAATGAACGAGGCCAATATATTTTATACCTGTGTTTGAAATAAATAACATATTTTCTAAATGATTGCAAATTACAGCATATTCTCATTATGTTTCTAAATAGATATATTTATTTCCAATTTGACCTTAATTAAGGGTTTCTGGTTTCTTTCCCTCATTCTTTCTCAGATTTCTTTTCAAATTCTTAGGCATGTATGTTTAATATATTAAAACTCTGATCATTGATTCAGCTACAGTGTTTTCCTCTCACAAAAAATTTAAATTTCAAAAGTCGGAATTAAGAATCATGATTTAAGTATACCTTAAAAACGGGTCTTCAATCTTTTTCTATCGTCTCTCTCTACAACCTCTCTCTATTTTCTCTCTCTCTCTCTACAACTAGTGCTGAAAGTTCGGGTCGGCGGGCTGCTTGAAGCCTGAATTTTTTCAGGCTCGGGCGGGCAAGCCCATCTCCCGCCTGCCCAAACTAGATTTTCGGGTTCGGGCTCGGGCAGCCCAAATTTGACACTGACTCTTGCCCGCCGCCGCCCGCCAGAAAGTTTTTGAATTTTCCGACCATGCCCGAATTGCCCGACCCACCCGAATTGCCAGACCCGAAAATAAGCCCGAAAACCCGAATTTTTCCCGAAGCCCGAGTTGCCCAAAACTGCCTGAAAATAAGCCCGAAAACCCGAATTTTGCCCGAAGCCCGAGTTGCCCGATTTGCCCAAAACCGCCTGAAAATATTAGTTGCTACAAATTGGGGCATTCCAAGAATCAAACTCAGGACCTCTCACACCCAAAGCAAGAATCATACCACTAGACCCAATGCTCATATTTGTTATTTAAATTTTTAACTTTTTAATTAAGGTAAACACACAATTCCTTAATAGAAAGAGTAAATTCCTATTTTAGCAGTTTAATATTTCAGTTTTCACATTCTTGACCCTTTTTTATAATCAATCACATGATAAAAGGATTCCTCAAAAAACAATATACACAAGGAAAGAAACACATTGCCATCACATTTTTATTATTTTTTATTTTTAAAAAGTGTTGTTTCTATATAATGTCGGTTTTGTTCTTATAGATACTCGTGTTTTTCTATTCTATATCACCATTCTTTCTATCTTTATCTATTTTTCTGTTCACAATCTCTCCTCATCCTCTTAATTATCCTCTTTTTTCTTCAACTTTCTTCACTCTCTTTGTGACTCTATATCAAAGTAACTTTCTACTTGCATACCAAAGTAAATTGATAATTTATCAAAAGTCACTCAATGATTGGTTTGGTTAAATAACTTCATCGCTATTAGATGATCTCTATTTTAAAAGACCAGTCACTCAATGTTGAAGCCTTGGTTTGCATTAAGGATTGGGATCGGGCCGATCAACATTTACAAGATACAATTTCACCGGCAAGCCAATAATGGATCGATGAATTTAATCGATTAACATTTAATTTTGAAGACGATCCTTTAGCTTTAAATTAAATTGTAAATTTGTAATTTGTAAATATGTATTTACCTTTGACATTGTATTTGTAATTGTATAACTTTGTAAGTTTGTAAATTTTGTAATTCGTCACAATATGATTACACTATTTTTTCCTTGTCAAGTTTTTAAAGAAATAATTTTTTTATATAGTTCGTGTGTT